ATAATAAAAGCTGACATCAAAGTACAACAATGTGCATAAGTAATTTTAAGTGAACATTATTTTGTAAAAGGTTGAGTAATACTGCCAAATCACAAAAGAAATTCAAACATAGGCTTTATAACCTAGAAGTGGGAATTAATTTGTGTACTTTAAAGTACCTCTTCTTCATATAGATTTGGGGTAGAAGAAGCTATTTATTCAAATGAAATTAAATGAAGAGTGGAAAGCATAACTAATGGGCTTCAACACAAATTAAATCAATGATATAATTTTTTTATACCTATATCCAACTGCCGTAAGAGAACACAAAAAGATTTTATCAGGAAGAATATGGAAGTTACCTGACTTCAAGTATGGCTGGATCTAGGGGTTTTTTAATAATTTCATTGGGATTCTCTTTTCATCTTTCAATCTGCTTTCCTCTGACAAGAGCCTATTTTAAAATGCAGAGCACCAAACCCCTGATAACAGATCTACCAAAATGTGGCCATCAGGACAGTTATTCTGCCATTTGTTGAGGCTAATAAAACAGTCCTGCTTATTGATCTCGCTGTTCCATTAAGCAAAAATGCCCCTAAGGACAGTTGCAGAGCAAAGAGGAACCAGACCAAGCATGGAAACAAATGAGGGATGTGTAAATAAAACTTGTCATCCTAGTATCTGGATACAATAATTAAACATCTTGGGATTTGGGGATTCAGTTTTTACTGGCATCAATTCAGCAAAGGTATTTCTGTACACTTATCGCATAACTCAGAAACACTGCATTTTGATACCAAGAAGAAGAATGGACTTGACAATATAAGGTGCTAAAAATGAAAATCTAATAATGATAAATGAAATACCATACATAAGAGGAGGTATGATGCAATATTTGACAACAAGGATGTTGAACCTAGGTGGGTTTGCATTTGAATCCAAACCCTAGCATTTGTTGTCTGTGCTACCCTGGGTAAGCCCTTGGACCTCCTCCAGCCTGATTTTTAATATAGAAAATGAGCCTAAAAATGATAATACCTCTTCATTAATTTGCTTGGACAATTACATGAGAAAACATGTTGATTGCTTAACAACATTCCTGGAACATAACAAATGTTCAATAACTGGTCATTATTAGTAGTATAAATTGTTAGTGGTCACCATTAATAGATACAGTTTTCTTGTCTCTAAAAAATAAGAGTTGGATGATAGGAGATCAAAAACTTCAAGTACTAACATTTTGTGGCTATGCGGTTTGAATGGTCTCTAAGTCCTACATTTCCAAGTAGTTAGGAGGTGGCAAAATATTGGAACCATGCACATATGGCTGTATGAGTGGGTAATGCCTACCAAGCATACACAGATGGTAAGAATCATTGCTTCCATATCTGAGGTCCCTAGAGGTGGGAGAGGGTGCTGTGTGAGTCTCTTCTACTCAGGTTCTACTCCTAGTAATTGAATCTGGTATTCATTGATATGCTTAGTAAGTATTTGGTTCATTTCTCCTTCTGGCACTGGGGAGTCTGAATTCCATGACCCTTTGGTGACTGGGTGGCACTGTATTATTTCTGGCCAATGAGTTGTGAACATAAGTGATGTGTCCATGTGTGATTGGAATTGGAGTATTTAATTACTTATGTAAAACTTTCCAGAATATATTTTCACTCTGTGATGGCAAATTTCAAGATAATGGCTTCTCAATTAGCACATTATTAGAGGAAGATGACACCAAGAAAATCTCCCAGCATGATTTACATATAAATCTTTGTTATTTTAAGCCACTGAGATTTTTGAGGCTGCTCCTTATCACAGCATAATTTATTCTATCTTGACTGATACAGAAGTGTATGCCTAGAAGAGAGGTGACAACATGAAAAAAATAGCCTAAAATAAGTGCCATTAGCTTAAGGGTCTGGTGGTGGGTGGGAAGGAAACTATTCTGAGGAGTTAGAATAGTTGCCATATTGTGTGCTGGCAAACATTTGGTAGAACTGATGTCTGTAATAACTTGGAAGTCCAATCGTGCACTTAATAAAATTTTAGCAACAGGAAAGAGGTAGAAAAACAGAATGTCATTAGCATGTATTGGTTGCTAGTATGTGTGTTCAGCAAAATATCACAAAAAATGAAAAGAGCAAAAAAATGAATTGGCCAGGTTTCAAGAAGGAGCAAAATAGAATGAGGAGGGCTTGCAAAACTTCTAAAGTATCTTGGAAACAATTGCTTCTCAGCCTCAAATAATGACAAAATTGAGAAAGGCTTTGAATGACAAAAGTTTAAAACAGATCTGCAGCAAGAAGAGAATCAAGGGTGTGGCTACTATACTGATTATTCAAAAACCTCTGACAAAGGAATCCTTTTTTAGACTAAAGGGAACTGTGCTTGCTCAAGACATAAAATAACATGTGGGCCCTTACCCTTCTACAGGTAAGAAGCAAACTAAGAAGCCTACTCCGTCCCTAGGGAGGAAATATCCCAACACTCCATTTAGATCTTATTGAAAAAGTAATGGAAAATGAATGATATTTTATAATATAAAGCCGTGGTTCATGCAGAAAACAGACAAGGGGGCAGGATTGCAGTCTAGTCAAGGAATATATCTTTCTCCCATAGGTGGCCCTCAAAGTATCTGACAAGTAGGACAGATGAACTGCCACAGATTGGTATCTGCTTTGTATTTCTCATTGTTCTCATTTCCAAATGAAAATGTATATTACAATTATCCTATTCCTGTTCTGTCATTGTTTACTGGGTTCACAGGAAAGGGGATGGGTAATCAGAAGCTGTCACCTGAGGGAAGCATTGGGTTGCTTCTTTGGGGAGTAGGTGAGTATATTTGCATGTGAGGATATGTAACCAAATATTTGGTGGCCAAAAGGGAAACTAAGGTAAACTGTGCTGTTCATTAATATCCAGTTCTTCTTTCTTCTTTAACCATACACGTGCAGAACTGAATTTTCTGGCTCTCTTTGTTTTAAGAGGAGTCATGTGACTGTTTCCAGACAATGAGTTGTCAGAAATGGTGTGTGTTGCCTTTAGGCAGGAGAATTTAATTACTTGTGTTCTATCCTTCAGAGCTCTCTTTCCTTCTGCACAAGGATTGTGCATTTCCCATCAGCTGAGTCCTAGAGTAAGGATGTCACTCACCAAACTGACTTGCCAACTTGTGATATACTTTAGTATTGGTGAGAAAAACGTTTTGTTGTTGTTTTTAAGCAACTGAGATTTGGAGGTTGTTGAAGTGCCCTACTCATATTGCCTTGGCATTTACAATTCTTTTTTATTGTACTTTATGTTCTGGGGTACATGTGCAGATCATGGAGGATTGTTGCATACGTACATACATGGCAAGGTGGTCTGCTGCCTTCATTCCCCCATCTGGTATTTCTCCTCTCATCCCTCTCCACCCTTCCCACACCTGATGTCCCTTCCCTAGCCCCGCCCCCACCGACCGCAGTGTGTGATGCTCCCCTCCCTGTGTCCATGTGTTTTAATTGTTCAACACCCACCTATGAGTGATAACATACAGTGTTTGGTTTTTGGTTCTTGTGTCAGTTTGCTGAGAATGATGATTTCCAGATTCATCCATGTCCCTGTGAAGGACATGAACTCACTGTTTTTTATGGCTGCATAGTATTCCACAGTATATATGTGCCACATTTTCTTTGTCCAGTCTATCCATGGTGGACATTTGGGTTGGTTCCACGTCTTTGCTATTGTAAACAGTGCCACAATGAACATACATATACATGTGTCTTTATTATAGAACAATTTATAATTTTTTGGGTATATACCCAATAATGGGATTGCTGGGTCAAATGGAATTTCTATTTTTAGGTCCTTGAGGAATCGCCACACTGTCTTCCACAATTGTTGGACTAATTTACACTCCCACCTACAGTGTAAAAGTGTTCCTATTTCTCCACATCCTCTCCAGCATCTGTTGTCCCCAGATTTTTTTAATGATCACCATTCTAACTCGTGTGAGGTGGTATCTCATTGTGGTTTTGATTTGCATTTCTCTAATGACAGTGATGATGAGTATTTTTTCATATGTTTGTAGGCCTCATCGATATCTTCTTTTGTAAAGTATCTGTTCATATCATTCGCCCACTTTTGAATGGGTTTGTTTGTTTTTTCTTGTAAATCTGTTTTATTCTTTCTGGAATCTGGATATTAGCCCTTTGTCAGATGGGTAGATTGCAAAAATTTTTTCCCATTCTATTGGTTGCTGGTTCATGCTGATGATTGTTTTCTTTGCTGTGCAGAAGCTCTGGAGTTTAATTAGATCCATTTGTCTATTTTGGCTTTTGTTGCCATTGCTTTCAGTGTTTTAGCCATGAAGTCCTTGACTATGCCTATGTCCTGAATAGTTTTGCCTAGGTTTTCTTCTAAAGTTTTTATGATGTTAGGTCTTATGTTTAGATCTTTAGTCCATCTGGAGTTACTTTTAGTGTAAGGTGTTAGGAAGGGGTCCAGTTTTTGCTTTCTGCACATGGTTAGCCAGTTTTCACAACATCATTTATTAAACAGGGAATCCTTTCCCCATTGCTTGTTTTTGTCAGCTTTGTCAAAGATCAGAGGATTGTAGATGTGTGGTGTTGCTTTTGAGGCCTCTATTCTGTTTCATTGGTCTATGTCTCTGTTTTGGTACAAATACCATGCTGTTTTGATTACTGTGGCCTTGTAGTGTAGTTTGAAGTCAGGCAGTGTGATGCCTCCAGCTTTGTTCTTTTTGCTTAGGATTGTTTTGGCTATGCAGTCTTCTCTTTTGGTTCTATGTGAAGTTTCAAGTGTTTTTTTCCAGTTCTGTGAAGAAGGTCATTGGTAGCTTGATGGGTATAGCATTGAATCTATAAATTACTTTGGGCAGGATGGTCATTTTCATGTTGTTGATTCTTCCCAACTATGAGCATGGGATATTTTTCCATCTGTTTGTGTCCTCCCTTATTTCATTGAGCAGTGGTTTCTAGTTCTCCTTGAAGAGGTCCTTTACATCCTTTGTTAGTTGTATTCCTAGGTATTTTATTCTCTTTGTAGCAATTGTGAATGGGAGTTCACTTGTGATTTGGCTTTCTGTTAGTCTGTTATTGGTGTATAGATATGCTTTTGATTTCTGCACATTTATTTTGTATCCTGAGACTGCTGAAGTTGCTTATCAATTTCAGGAGATTTTGGGCTGAGATGGTAGGGTCTTCTAAATATACAATCATGTTTTCTGCAAATAGAGACAATTTGGTTTCCTCTTTTCCTAATTGAATACCCTTTATTTCTTTTGCTTGCCTGATTGCTCTGGCTAGAACTTCCAATAGTATATTGAATAGGAGTGGTGAAAGAGGGCATCCTTGTCTTGTGCTAGATTTCAAAGGGAATGCTTCCAGTTTTTGCCCATTCAGTATGATATTGGCTGTGGGTTTGTTGTAAATAGCTTTTATTATTTTGTGATACATGCCATTGCTACCTAGTTAATTAGGGGTTTTAGCATAAAGGGCTGTTGAATTTTGTTGAAGGCCTTTTCTGCATCTATTGAGATAATCATGTGGTTTTTGTCTTTGGTTCTGTTTATGTGATGGTTTACATTTATAGACTTGAGTATGTTGAACCAGCCTTGCATCCCCAGGATGAAGCCTACTTGATCATGATGAATACGCTTTCAATTTGCTTTTGCATTTTGTTTGCCAGTATTTTATTGAAGATTTTTGCATTTATGTTCATCATGGATATTGGCCAGAAGTTTTCTTTTTTAGTTGCATCTCTGCCTGGTTTTGGTATTAGGATGATGTTGGTCTCATAGAATGAGTTGGGGAGGATTCCCTCTTTTTGTATCATTTGAAATTGTTTCCAAAGGAATAGTACCAGCTCCTCTTTGTATGTCTGGCAGAATTAGGCTGTAAACCCATCTGGACCTGGGCTTTTTTTAGTTGGTAGGCTATTAATTGCTCCCTCAACTTCAGCCCTTGTTATTGGTCTATTCAGGGATTCAACTTCTTTCTGGTTTAGTCTTGGAAGAGTGCAAGTGTCCAGGAATTTATCCATTTCTTCCAGGTTTACTGGTTTATGTGCATAGAGTTGTTTGTAGTAATCTCTGATGGTAGTTTGTATTTCTGTAGAATTGGTGGTGATAACCCCTTTATCATTTTTTATTGCATCTATTTGATTCTTCTCTTTGTTTTTATTAGTCTGGATAGTGGTCTATCTGTGGTTGATCTTTTCAAAAAACCAGCTCCTGGATTTGTTGATTTCTTGAAGGGTTTTTGTGCCTCTATCTCCTTCAGTTCTGCTCTGATCTTAGTTATTCCTTGTCGTCTTCTGGCTTTTGAATTTTTTTGATATTCCTCCTCTCTTTCAATTTTGATGATAGGGTGTTGATTTTAGACATTTCCTTGCTCCTCATGTGGGCATTTATTGCTATGAATTTTCCTCTAGACACTGCTTTAAATGTGTCCCAGAGATTCTGGTATGTTGTGTCTTCGTTCTCATTGGTTTTGAAAAACATCTTTATTTCTGCCTTCTTTTCATTATTTATCCAGTCTACATTCAGGAGCCAGTTGTTCATTTTCTATGAAGTTGTGGGGCATTGAGTTAGTTTCTTAATCCTGAGTTCTAATTTGATTGCACTGTGGTCTAAGAGACTGTTTGTTATGATTTCCATTCTTTTGCATTTGCTGAGGAGTGATTTACTTTCAATTATGTGGTCAATTTTAGAGTAAATGTGATGTAGTGCTGAGAAAAATGTGTATTCTATGGATTTGGGATGGAGAGTTCTGTAAATGTCTATTAAGTTCTCTTGGTCCAGATCTGCATTCAAGCCCTCGATTTCCTTGTTGATTTTCTGTCTCGTTGATCTGTCTAATATTGACAGTGGAGTTTTAAAGTCTCCCACTATTATTGTGCAGGAGTCTAAGTCTCTTTGTAGGTCATTATGACTTGCATTATGTTTCTAGGTGCTCCTGTATTTGCTATGTATATATTTAGGATTATTAGCTCTTCTTGTTGTATTGATCCTTTGTCTCTCTTGATTTTGTTGGTTTAAAGTCAATTTTATCAGAGACTAGAATTGCCACCCCTGCTTTTTTTCTTTTTTCCCCTCCATTTGCTTGGTAAATCTTCTTCCATCCCTTTATTTTGAGTCTATGTGTGTCTTTGCACATGAGATGGGTTTCTTGAATACAGCACACCAGTGGTTCTTGGCTTTTTATCCAATTTGCCTGTCTGTGTCTTTTGATTGGGGCATTTAGTCCATTTACAGTTAATGTTAATATTGTTATATGTGAATTTGATCCTGCCATTTTATTACTAGTTGATTGTTTTGCCCTTTGGTTGGTATAAGTTCTTCATTGCACAGTTGGTCTTTACCATTTTGTTCTTTTTTTTTGTAGTGGCTGATACCGGTTTTTCCTTTCTGTATTTAGTGCTTCCTTCAGGAGCTCTTGCAGGGCAGGTCTGCTGGTGACAAAATTTCTCATCAATTTCTTGTCCATGAAGTATTTCCTTTCTCTTTCACTTGTGAAGATTAGTTTGGCTGGATATGAAATGTTAGGTTGAAAGTTCTTTTCTTTAAGGATGTTGAATATTGGACCCTACTCTCTTCTGGCTTGTTGGGTTTCTGCCAAGAGATCCACTGTGAGTCTGATGGGCTTCACTTTTAAGTTGGCCTGACCTTTCTCTCTGGCTGCCCTTAGTATTTTTTCCTTCCTTTCAACCCTGGTGAACCTGACGATTATGTGCCTTGGAGTTGCTCTTCTAGAGGAGTATTGTTGTGGTGCTCTCTGTATTTCCTGTATTTGAATGTTGGCCTGCCTTGCTAGGTTGGAGAAGTTCTCCTGGATAATATCCTGAAGAGTGTTTTCCAGCTTGGATTCATTCTGCCTGTCATCTTCTGGTACACTGATCAGGCGTAGATTAGGTCTTTTCACATAATCCTATATTTCTTGAAGGCTTTGTTCATTTCTTTTCACTCTTTGTTCTCTTTTCTTGCCTTCTCTTTTTTTTTTTTTTTGAGACGGAGTTTCACTCTTGTTACCCAGGCTGGAGTGCAATGGCGCGATCTCAGCTCACCGCAGTCTCCGCTTTCTGCGTTCAGGCAATTCCCCTGCCTCAACCTCCTGAGTATCTGGGATTACAGGTACGCACCACCATGCCCAGCTAATGTTTTGTATTTTTAGTAGAGGCGGGATTTCACCATGTTTACCAGGATGGTCTCCATCTCTTGACCTCATGATCCACCTGCCTCAGCCTCCCAAAGTGCTGGGATTACAGACTTGAGCCACCGGCCTTCTCATTTTATTTCATTGATTTGATCTTCAGTCTATGATATCCTTTCTTTTGCTTATTTGGCTATTGAAACTTGTGTATGCTTCATGAAGTTCTTGGGCTGTGTTTCCCAGCTCCATCAAATTGTTTATGTTCTTCTTTAAGCTGGTTATTCTAGTTAGCATTTCGTCTAACCATTTTTCAAGGTTTTTAGTTTCTTTGCATTGGGATAGAATATGTTCCTTTAACTCAGAGAAGTTTGTTATTACCCACCTTCTGAAGCCTGCTTCTGTCAATTCATCAAATTCGTTCTCCATCTTGTTTTGTTCCCTTGCTGATGAGGAGTGGTGATCTCATGGTGAGGGGAAAGACATTCTGGTTTTTGATGGTTTCATTCTTCTTGTGCTGGTTTCTACCCATCTCTTGGATTTATATACTTTTGATTTCTGGTAGCTGCTAGGGAAGGGGGCCTTTCCTTTGTCTTCCTGCAGAGGTGCTGCTGGGCTGCCACAGATTCAGTGGAGCTGCTGCATCTTTTGTTTACTCAGGAAAATTAGGCCGGCTTCTGCCATGTTGGCTTCCCTTCTGCCGGCTGAGCTGGATAGTTCCTGGTCACTCTCTAATTGACTTTCTTGGTGCCTAACTCTGGAGTGAGAGGTTTTTGGCCTGCTGGGCTTTGTGCAGCAGGGGGACCCATCCTACCATTTGGGCTGTTTCCCTGCCTACCATTCCCCTTCTTCCTGGGGGGCAGGTAGCTCCATCCCACCAGCTTTCTGGCTTTCATGTCAGCCAGTGCTTCTGCCTAGATCTGTCCCGCAGCCCCAGCACTGGGTGAAGTTGCTGTTTTGCCCTGTTTAGGCAGCTCGCTAAGACTTTTCAGCCCAGCAAAGGTCTCCTGTTCTGTGGGTTGTAGAGGGCTTGGGTAGCATGCTGTATCTGAACCAAAGTCCCAGAGGGGTGATCCCCCAGTCCTCTGGTCAGTTGCATGCTCCTCCTGGTTGGGGCACTGCCTTGCCTTGCCACAATTTGCCCTATTTGGTTTATATCCACTGTCTGACCAGACCCACAAAATGGACTTGGTACCTCATTTGGAATTGTGGAGGCCACTTGGCTTCTGCATCTCTCTCATTGGGAGCTGCTTTCCGGAGCTGACTCTTATTTGGCCATCTTGGGATCCCCCAGCATTTACAATTCTTAAGGATGTTAATAACTTTCTATCACAAGCCACTGTATTGCTGTGCTTAACTTTTTCTTTTTCTTTTTTTTTTTCTGATGTGATTGGTCTATGTGAGGCAGGCCAGACTAGTAGTAAGTTAATTCTTAGAGGTGAACTCAGTCATTGAAGAGTAAGCATTGAATGACAAACCCACAGGCTTCCTTACTTTCCAGGCCCCCATGAAGTGTGTTTTGCACAGTCTCCCAGAGATTTCCAGCAGGATTTAAGCACCAGTTCCCCATAATGTTGCTCATTAATTTACTAGGATTGACTTCATTCTCTATTCTATATTACTATACCACTCTCATCTCTTGGGTTATTTATAGATAAACTTGCACTGAAATTCTTGTTTCAGGGTTTCCTGCAGGAACGCAAAATACGACCTTGTGGAGACAATTAAGGTCATGGCTCACAGAAACTAATTTCATATCCAGATCAAAGGCTGTAGAAGGGTGGTAAAGCCTTTCTGCTCTCTATATCAAAAGCTATATACTTTGTTCTAGAATTTCCCTTTGAACAATACACAATTTTAAAATGAAGATCTAATTGTGTAACAAAGAATATCCTTTACCTGACACAGTTTACCAATGAATGCTCTTTCCAAATATATAAGATTTTTCTTCCCACATTTTTCTGGTTACTCTTTGCCTTCCCCAACCTCCAAAGCCATTGATTCAATTTTACTAACTGCTTTAGTGTAAGAGAAAAGTCATTATCTAAAAAAAATATGTCAATTCTGTTTGTGAGCAAAAAGGTCAAAGTTGTGTTAAAAACAGCTCTTAAAAGAAAAGTAATTTTCTTGAATACTGTGAGTTCAGCTTTAAATAGTAACAACAGCAATAACAAAATATCCTAAAGCCTGGACACAACATTTACCTATAAATAGCCCATTGGCAAGACAGTCATTTAAGAGCCATAAAACTCTAAATATGAGAATAGGTGAGAATTTATAAAGCTGACAGTGGGGAGGAAAATTGGAAGGACCATAATTGTAAAGGAAGATGCTAAATTAGGATGTACTTCATGGAACAGAAAGGAATTGTCTACTAAAGAGAGCCCAAAATATGTCCAAATGCAATCCATTAATCAAAAGTAGGAAACAAGTCAATGTACAACAGGCCTTCTGTTGCCATTCAAGTAAACACTGTGAACTTCCTGCAGGATAGAGTTTTGTAATCTTCCATAATCATTCCTGTGAGAGTGTCTCATTAACCTGACTCCATGTGGCTCAGTGATGAATGAGAAGAAATGCCATTTATCTGTTAATATTTTGTTCAGTCCTTTACAAATTATGGTGACCCAGGATAGCCATAAGCTCCTGAAAAGAATGGATTGACCTCATGGATGTACAAAACAGACAGGGACCTATGGAAGGAAAAGCTTCCACCTCATATTGCTAATTGAGTGGGGACTAAATGGAATCAACTGAAGATTTCCTCTGACACAAGCCAGCATTGTGAAACTCACAAGTATTATAGAAAGATTGTCTGGGAGTGGGTAAAATATATTGAAGTAAAAATAATAAAATAGAGAGTTAACCTTTACTGATGCCCAGTATTTGTTAGCATGAAGTCAGAATGATAAAGCTTACATATATTGGTACACAAATTAGGTGTGTTAGACCAGGTATGGCATAGTAATTATTTTCTAATAAATTAGGCAGTTCCTATAGTAACAAATTTATTCGTTTACATAATATTTATTAAGTAGCTAATGTGCTGTTTCTGTGTAGACAGGAGGAAGCTCCTGGGTCTAAATACTGTATAGCTCCAGAATGTTTTCTTTGGTTGTCTCTTTTCTTTACTTACAGTCTCATCAAATTTGAAGATTTA